ACAGTAAGAGAGCTGTTTTTACACTTTTAAATGTTTTTTGTTTTTTATATTAATGTAATAAGGGTTGTTAAACTGATTGTCTCTTCCTCTCTAAAATCTCATAAATACTTACCTTTTTTTTTTGGAAGATTGTATTTCATGTCCGATGTCAGTTTTTATTAATATTCTGCCATTTTAACCGACGTATTTAAGTAATTCTAGTGCTATAGGAAGTGAGGACAACATGTTGTTTTCCATTGATTTTTTTTTTTGTCATTTTAAACCCTTTCTATGCCCTGACCCTGACATTAACTCTATACCCATACCCATTACTAGTGCATACTTAACCTAAACTAAATTGTCACTTTATTCCAAAAAAAAAAAAAATTCTTAGTAAAACTTGAAATGTGGATTAGACATATGAGCCTATTTTGGTACAAACGGTCCTCAGTTTGATGCTGAAATTGGAAAAATGCTCCTCACTCTGATGCCAAAACAGGAGCCACCACACACTCACACACACACCCACCCACGCACACACACAGACTGCAGGTTATATACAGAGGAAGGGAGAAGCAGCACGCATTAGCTAAATTAAAGCTGATATATGGCTAACAGGATTTAAATCAGATCATTATGAAGGATGCCAGACACTGGCTGAGACATTTTAACACTGTCATGTCTTTTTTTATGAATTAAGACTTCATTTGTATAAAATATTACATTAATATTTATACACAAAATAACATCATTGAAGACATTTTCAAAGAAGAAAGACAAAAGGAAAAAAAACTGCAAAGAAGGAAAGGAAAATATTATAGAACAAAAACACTCCAATCTTTTTCTTTTTTTCCTCATTTCTAGCTACTTTAGATTTACATGGGATTACATGACAATCTGTGTCAATAATTAATTGAATTTCTGTGAATTGACTAAAGTGAAGAAATGATCTGTTTGCTTATGTTAATGTGTTTTGTTCTAATAAAAAGTAAAAAATGCATGAGTATTCGTTTTAAAAAGCTGGTTATTGGAGTTACAGAAACAGCTATGGTTACCAGAGTTCACTGATGTGTCTATTTGCTGGTGTTAGCTGCTGGTACCGTGGGCTAAACCATTATACAAACATTGCATGAATAAGTGAAGATATAAATGCCACATTTTACTTAGATTAATGAAAAGCTTCCTATTTAAGATTTTTATTTTGCATACTGTTTTTAAATGTTTCCCAGATTTTTGAAGGTTCATGCATGCTTTCTGCAACGGATAGAGTAGGTAAGGGAAGCACTGCATTTTTTAAGCCTCAATAACTTTTTAAAACCATTCTATACCTTGATTTTTGAAACAGGCACAGTCTCACATTTTCTACAAAAAAAAAAAAAACATCATACAAGATAAAAAATTTTCTATTGAAGCGGCTTACAGTATATCTACTTTTGTCACATATTGATTATAATGATATTATTTTAAGTATATCGATTTAATTAAAACTATTGTATAATGACCAGATAAATGTGCTAGTGTTTTTCAAGTTGCAGTAGCAGATAATATCATACCTGCTTTGCAGTTCTGGACATTATAAAGTAACTGATGTAAAGGAAGCAGTCATTAGAAGGCTAATCAGTTGAGCTGTGTGCTCTCTAGTTGGGTTGCAATCAACTGCACAAGGGTTGCAGCTTGCCAACTGTAGCTTTAAAACATCTTTAATAGGAGTAATGGGTGGTGAATCCAACATTATTTTAACAGAGTGAAACAGTTTATTCTAGGGAATTGCGTGATAGCTGTTGGATGGGTATCCTAAAGAACTCCAGCGACTTCAGGACTTTCTGTTATGTGATGTGGACATTTTTGGCATTGCTATTTTTAAGCTTTAATTAAGATTTTAACATGCAAAGATGTGACACATATGTCCTAGTTGATATAGTATATAAAACGTTCCAAACTGTTTGTTAATGGATGTCAAGCTGTCTCTGCATCGTGCAATATCAAAGTTAAACATGGAAAAGTAACTTGGCGTAGCTAATTCACTGTTCCTTATTTAGGTGCAGGGGTATTTAGCTCTATTACTGTAAGCTGTAAATATTTGGTAAAGTTTTAAATATTTAGACAGTTCTATACAACATCCGTGTCAGCAAAGGCCAGCTTTTACATGGCTGACCTCAGATCATGTGAGAAATAGAATCTTTTTGCACTTTTCCTTAAGCTGCCTAAAGACAGAATAAAACTATGAAAGATGACCCGATCTCTGTCTTTCTTCGGGAAACTGATTATTGACTTGACGGCCTTTGAAATCAGTCCAAGAAGATTTCTCGCTTGCATTTAATGTTGGCTGTTTAAGGGCAGATTTGTGAAATGATATCTGCCAAACCTGCCTGGCTTTAGCTGACCCCTCTTAGCCGAGGTCAGCACAGCCATGCTCAAACTCGAGACGTAATCCATTTTCTTTTGCCCTGGCAAAGCTGTACTGAGGTGATTGTGCTGACCCAGCCGGCCCGAAGGAATAGGGAGATAGAGATGGTGAAGCAGAGAGAGAGAGAGGGAGAGGGGGCATGTGAGGCTCAAGGGCATAACACAGAGGTGCTGGGGGCCACAGTAGCCCTTTAAATGTCAACAAAGCGTCGGGGGGTGGGGGGGCAAACTGTTGAGGAGCAAATCTCTGTTTGAGGACTGGGGAGAAAACTGGCAGCTTCGACACCAGGAATTTTAAAGTTGGCACAATACAGCGAATAGGGGAGATAAACAATGTTCATCTGCCCTATCTCTCTTAATGCCCATCTCTTAATGGGCATTAAGAGATGTCATTTGGTGCGTAATTTTGACTTTAAAGGACTATTTATGTTGTTTTATGTTGATTGTGATGGAAAAATACTCCTGAATGGGGGCATTTTCCAGAGTTTTCAGACCCTTTTAGCTTTGATCACTTTACAAAGAAAACTTGATTTAATTTTAATGTATGGACTTTATTTAATAGATAAACATAAATTAGTGCTCAAATAAAAATCTGAAAAAGTTTGGAAGTGGAAATCCATTTTGGAAGTAAAGCTACAACCAATATCCACTCAGATAATGTATTAAAAAACAATCAGATGAGAGTAAAACGGAGCTTTATGCCTGACATGCAAAATAGTTTTAGTATCATAAAACCAACACAGCACCTTGATAATCCCATCACTGAGGTGAAACTGGGTGGTGACAGCAGCATGAGATTATTTTTTTTTTTTGCATAGACAGGACAGCTGTTCTTAGTGTATTAATTTAGAGAAATCCTGTAACAAAACTTATCTGGGTCTGTAAAGTGTTTGGAGATAAAAGCTAGCTTCTAGCAGAAAAACCACCTTAAACGTGCAACCAGAGCTAAAGGGGAAGAGTTTGATATTTTGGAAACAACTAGAAAAGCCAAAATCCTTGATGAAAGTGTTGTCACATTGGTTCATAAAAAATTTGCATAAATGTATTCATCCAGATTATCAGTCTTTATTTCGGACATTCTTTATTTCATTTTTGGGAAGAATCTGTTTCTTTCTAAAGTTCATAGTAAAGATTATGTTGTAAAAAAGTGTACCAGCACATCGGCAAGATTTTAGAAATACAGAGGCAATAAAAGAGTTTTTAACTGACCTTGCCTTTGGCTGCACTGTGATTTTTTTTGTAATGATTATGACATTTCTAATCTCTTTTGTTTCAATTTTAACCTGTTATCCTGCGTAGAATTTAAAATTTACAGGATTATCCCAGTTGTATCACACAGCTATGATATGATTTGTCTACCAGCTGCGGATAAACTTTTATATGTGACAATAGATACCAGCTGAAAAGTCACTTATGTGTAATGTATTTGCAAAATCAAAGACCTAGCCCTATTTTATGTCAGCCTATTTATATAAATATAACTTAGACTAAGACAAATTTTATTGTCATTTTTGTATACACCGAGTGTATATAAAATAAGATTTTGTTGCTTAAAGCTTACAACAGTGAAATGAACAATACAATTTAAAGTGCAGCAGTGATCATCATGCAAACAATATAGCAGAAAAGGATAACCAGTTTAAAAAAAGCTTCAAAAAAGTTATGTTGAAAATGGGCATTAATATGGAGAAGTTCAGTGCAGTACAGAATAAACATGGTGCAAAATGCAGTATAGCATTGAGTTTTGTCCTATTTAAAAGGAGTATAAGCCATGTTGGTAATGTAAAAGGATATACATGATATATTGGCTTATTTACTGAAAGAAGATCATATTTTCTTTGTGTATTTTCTTAGAATTGCAAGATTTTATTGTCATAATCTGATGTAGGACATGAACCACTGTTGCAGAGTCAAGCTCTTGTATATCTTAGAACTTTTAGAGCAAACCTGGCATACCTTGGCAGATATAGCTGCCAGTCCTGGGATAAAAAAAAACTAAACAAAGGATAAAACAAACAAAAAAACCTCAAGAAGCTGAAAAACATCAGGCCTAAAAAAACTGACTGCTGCAGAGAAACTGTATTTTAAAGAGATTTCCCTTAGGAATAGGGAAGAAAAATCCAGCAAAGACCTGACACAGGACCTAAGAGGTGCATCTGGCCCTTCACTTCATCCATCTACTGTATGCCAAGTTTCCAGCAAAGAATCCTTTGGGAATCATCTAGTTGGTGCAAAAATCCTAGCTCCATGTCTGTCAAAGTGTTATGGTTGGAATTTTTCTATAGATTCAGCAACAAAATTTGAATTAAGCGTATGTTTTTGGCATATTTTATTAGGAACATGCCAAATGATCAAATAAATTGTTAATTCTTCCCTAAATTGTTGGTTATTCAGAGTATTTTCTATCCTAGAGAAAATCTGAACTGAATTTCAATAAAGTTTCCAATGCATTTAGATCAAAGCAGGATTCCACACTACATATTCAATTTCAGGTGTGAACCACTCATAAACTTTAAATAGCTCATGATCAGTCTATGGCGAATATTGATGACTAAGTCAAGGTCACTTTGTTAATTTGCTGCTCCTCCTATCCCTATTTCATGTGAAATCTACAGGTCTAAGTGTGTCGCAATCCAAACCAATCACAGCCTTCATTAAGGAGCAGGGTCGGGCACTGGACTGGAGCAAGCATGGCGAGCATGCCGTTTGTCAGCGAGGGGAAATGTGTGAGTGTGGAGTGGGATTTCCTACAAGGACTTCTGGCCAAGCCTCCTACACTACCCTGGTGAGACCACACACACACACACACACACACACACACACACCAATACGCACACAGACCAATATAAGCCTGGGAGCATGCCCATGAATTAATCTCCACAAGGTGAAATCCATGGGTTGACATCCTTGCACATACTGACAGCCTGATAAAGAGTTCCCCTTCACTGAAACACAATACAGAAGACATAAGTCTGTTCTGCTCAGAGCTACAATTCACCTGCGCGAGCTCACCTGCCAGTCGTGTCAGACACGGGACCCCCTGCACCTCCCCTTAAAGGAGATTAAGTCAATTTGGCAGGAATTATTAATGGGCAGTCATTTACAGGCGGATATATAAACTAAGCAGAATCAATGTGCATGTATTGATTGTTCTCGGTGGCTGGGGTCGAGGCAGTATAATAATGAGATGTTACACGGGCTGGCAGCATGAGTCCACACACGCTCACAGGAAGACACACCGATTTCACTTGTTAGGGGGGAAAATACAGCAGCTGTGCCACCTGATTAAGATATAACCATATCTGCACACACTAATCTAACAAACATTTATTGCACGCATACACACGCTTGTGCACGGCTGGAAGTCTTGGTGTGAAAGCAACACAGACACAAAAGAGAATATCAGACCCATGACACACAAACACTTTATTCCAGCGCTGCACTGACACAAATTGTGAAGTGGCTGTGACAACATAATTCCACCACTCAGGCCCCATTGAGGAGAGTCAATACCCAATCACAGAGACAGGCTACCTGAGCCCCAGCTCCCTCCACTCCACCCCCCTCCTCTCTGTCACTCTGCCCCTCCCTCCACTATTGATCCCTCAATCATGGCTACAGCTCACTAGCCCGGGACCAGATGAGGGAGAAGCAGAGAGGATTTAGAGGGAAGGAGGGAGGAGAAAGAAGAAGGGAAAACAGAGATAGGTAGGGGAGAGATTGTGTGCACAGGTTCATGTATGGATTTTAGAGCAAATAGCATTATTAGGACTCTGGTTGAGTGGATAAAAGAAGAGGACAGTTTGTAATTGTGAGGCTCGTCTGCAGAAGATGGGACAGTGTGAAAATCAAACCGCAAAGATGCTGAATAGTTATTTGTCCTTGTTCATGAAAAAGCTGGTGGACTATGTAATGTAAGTCTGAGCCAAACATCCAAGGATCACAACAAAGTTCAGCCACCAACACTGGAAAACACACAGCAAATTTTGGTTGCTAAAACACTTATTTCAGGCAATTTTTTTTAATGAACAAAGTAGAAAAAACGAGTATCTAACCCTATCCTAACATAACTTAGAACCCTAGAGATGTTGCTTAGGGATTAACATCAACCATATTATGTGTCAGATAACCACTGCTCCAAATAAACCCTGACACAGATTAGAAGACAGGGCGAAGATGAAAAATCCAATCTGTGTTATAGAAAACAGCACTTTAATCATTCAAGATATATTTGTTGAATAGAAAAAGAAAAATATTACAGAGACATAAATCATACTGGGTCTGTTTCAAATAAAATCTTATACTAACAAAAAACTACACAACAATAGAAGCCATCTGAGCTGGGCAAACAACCATCTACACCTCTGATGAAGGCAGCAATAGAAAGTTAATCCTTCTTTTGTCAGATTAACAGCCAATAAGTAGCTTTCACAAACCTAAATAGCTTTAAAGTGAAATATCTAATCTAGGATTACTTTGAACTAAAAGTTTCCTTCCTAATCACCGTACCTTGATTAAGATCTGCCTTGTTCAACCAATACCTATTTGTCCATTAATTAAAACCAAGGACACTAACTCTGCCCTATCGTGTTCTTTACATTTCTTCTTTTTATTTAGTCTTATCTGGTAGCAATTTGTGTCCTGAAATGTTCTACGTGCATAAACGGGTAGGTGAGTAACTGAGGCTAATAAAATGCAGATAGGCAATGGTTCTATAGTCAATATTCACTGTGAAGTCATTTTAGATGTTGCATGTTGCACAAACTGACACTGCAAATGTATTACCAGCTACCCCTGTTTGTAACCCCAAAGTTCAAGTTTTTGTCAGTTTGACTTTTAAGTAATGAAAAAGTGTTATATAGGTACAGGCCATTTATTTGTTCTGCCCAAAAAAAGAGAACCAGGAGAGTCCAATCTGCACAGGTTCATCCACTCTGCAGATTGGACTCACCTGGTTCAGAACTAACAAAAGAGATGACTTGTTGGCTCCAGATCCTCTATCTCTGGCACCTTCCTCCACCCCTCTTTAATCTGATTCCCCTAAATAAAATCAATTGCAAATCCAGTGCTTTCTTTTATTAATAAGCAGAGTCGACCGATACAGTAGTAGCCATTCAAAATTTCCCCAATTTCCTTGATGGGCTCTTGGCTGATCCCCTACAATTCCTCTTTAAACATCAATCTTTGTACTAAAATATTCTTTCTGTCATGATTTGGGGACATGAAGGTCTAAAGAGAAGCACCATTTCCCTGTAATTCCGTGAAAGGGTGGAGTCAGAGTAAAACAAAATTATTCACACTCAGGAGATGGAGGGGGTCACCCCAGTTGCTGAAAGTTGGAGGGGATTTTCCTGGGAGTTGCAGGGAAGTGGGCTGCCATTCGGCTAGCGTTTGACTGGGAAGAGCCATTTTGAATGGCTGCTACTGTATGTATTTCAACCTTGATTTAAATACACCTGCTGCTTAAAGACTTTACGACTTTGTTAAGGGAAATGGAAACCAAGGATACCACTGTTCAATTCAATTCAGTTTCAATTCAGTTTATTCATATAATGCCAGTTTACAACACAAGTCATCTCAAGGCACTTTACAGTTCACCAGATCATACAGTCAAATTGATTCAAAGTTTTCTATCTAAGGAAAACCAGTCGATTGCATCGACTCATTGACTCGAATGCAATCCGTCAAACTAAGCATACTTGTAGCGACAGTGGAGAGGAAAAACTCCCTTTTAACAGGAAGAAACCTCCAGCAGAACCAGACACTGTTAAACCTGTAGCTACAACCCAACAAAAACAAGATTATCTGACTAAAGTAACATAAGGGAAGGGTGGTTTTAAAATAATATTTCAAATTATGTTAAACAAAAGTATAACATTAACATAATATAGGATAAGATAGGTTTTTTACCAGTTAGTAAAATTTTAAGGTGGCACTTAAATGTAAAATGTAAATTATTATGACTAAACTTAAAAGGGGTTTTAAATCATGTTATGTAGTTTTTATTTTATGTTTGTCGCTGAAGAGTTAAGGACTGATGAACAAATCATTTTACTGTGGCATGCATATTGTGATATGTAGAAAAGAATTATGTTCTGTGTGTTTGAAAGTTGTTTTTGTAACTCAGAGAAGCTATTTTTATTGCAGGTCATTTGGTGTGATTCGCTATACAAACTACCTTCACTCATCAAAGTATTCAATCACTCAGCAAGTTCTTAAAGTCCTTACACTGGTTCCCTGTAGCCTGTGTATAGTGGGGACATTTTAATGTGTTCAGCTATGAATGAATGCTAAATCATGATGCAGCAGATCCATCTAGAAACTCTCAGAGGGGATTTCTGCTGTTTATACCAGGGCCTAGACTTTTAACTCAAGCTGTAACTCAGGTGAAGTTGCTCATTGTTCTCATTAGAGTAAATCTCTGGTTTGTGTCTTGCTAAGTAATTAATAGCATAGCTGTGTCTTACAGTTAACTAATTCTGAGTCAGCTTTCTTGTTTACAGCTGTCTTCATTCTGGGTTTAATCCTCCTGTTGACTCGATGGCTGATCTTATGAACTGTGTGTGTCTCCTACTGAAGCCCTGTTCTGTTTAATTTCCGGGTAACGAATGAAGCAGGCAGATGAACCCGTACTGAACAGCTGTTTTAGACTCCTCCACACCATGTAACCACTGCTCAGCATAGATAAGATGTGAAAATTATCCTCTTTTGTCTTTTTTTATATTTACTTAATATAAGGTTAGGTGGAAAGGAAAGGGATTATATGCAGTATAGCAGAATCAAATCTGAATATTTTTTAAGAAACAAAAATTTGAAATTTAATGTAGTTCTTGACATTAATTCACCTTGCTAACGGACATTTAGCCTTTGTCCAAATGTCTTCTTTTGTGAGATTGTGGGTTATTTAGAAAACATTCAGGGGTTAAATGGACAGCATTGGCAAAGCAAAGGTTTAGGTTCAAGTTCAATGTTTTAAGCACATTAAAACATTTAGCAAGAGCTGCAATGGCAGAATTTAGGTTTAAGCAAAGTTGTGCATTAGAATAGCTGCCAAACATCTAGACCTACGGTAAATCCACCAGAAAATCTGCAACAAGAATTGAAATCTAATATTTTTATAGCTGCGCTGCATCTAGTCGCACCCAGTTTAAGCTGTTATTCTATAATTGTTTAATCTATTCGTTAGGTTCTCTTGCTCTTGGTTCATCTTTTAATACACTTTGTCTGTCTCTCAGTCTCCAGAACTTGCGTAAAGAGAAATCTCGCAATGCAGCTCGTTCACGGCGGGGAAAGGAGAACTTTGAGTTCTTCGAGCTGGCCAAGATGCTGCCTTTGCCAGGTGCCATCACAAGTCAGCTCGACAAAGCTTCTGTCATCCGGCTGACTATCAGCTATCTGCACATGCGCACCTTTGCAAGCCAAGGAGACCCACCGTGGAGCCCTCTGCTGGAGGGGGACAACAACTGCAACAAAGGTTAGTTGGAAACCAAACTACCAAGCTGCTGCGTTTAATTTATTTCCAAAAGGTGGAACTGAAGTCAACTTTGACCCCAACTCAGTTATGTTTCAGTTGCATGTTCTAAATCTATCTGGATTTTCTGACTGTTTGCTTACTGAGTGGGCTACCTCCAATTAGCAATTGCAAATAACACTATACTTTTTGATGTAGTCAAACATTTGATGTAGTCAAATTTTGTAGCTGCAAATTTACCTCCAGATGAAGCACAAGGTAATTAATTTTGAGGAATTCATTGACGTAAAATTATCAAGAGTGTAAATCATGAAAGAAGTTCAGTGTTTATTACACGTGGTGCTGCCATATTGGATTGTAAGATTTGAGGTCAGAGCAGTGTTGCCAACTCAGCAACTTTGTTGCTATATTTAGCAACTTTTCAGACCCCTCCAGCGACTCTTTTTCCAAAAAGCGACTAACGACAAATCTAGTGACTTTTTTGGTGTCACTGGGGGCTTTTGGAGATAGTTACGTGAAAGCACGTATCGTTCCTACTCTTGTCCTCCAGCGGCAGGTGCTGCTGGTGGGTGCCTCCCCCGTCCCAACCCCGTTCTCCCACTTCCGCAGGAGTCCCTCTCAGTGCTGCCGTTAGAGCCACAGCATGCTTACCCTCAGCTTCCAGTGAACCGCGCACATGCGCCGGGATTGACGGCACAGGTTGATCACACTGGAGTCAGCTCCCTTAGTTGCTGAACCTGCCATTCCCTCCACACACAGCCTATGTGTGTGGAGGGAAATCTTATTAGTTTAAAAATAATATTAATTACCATTATTTGCTCACATTGTCATTGATTCTTTGTAGTCTTTTCTGTTCCATTTAGATTGGTAATGTAATGTCAAAAATATTATGGTTCAAAATGTTTATGTTCTACCATGATTTATAGGCTCATTTTAGGACCACAAGGGAAAAAAAGTAAAAAAAAAAAAAGTTGAAAAAAATGAAATAGTAACACACACACACATATATATATAGATATATATGTGTGTGTGTGTTTGTGTATACCTTGAATTTGTTGTCCATAAGTCAGTTATAAAAGAAGGTGTAAACAGTTCAACTTCACCTTTTTGATGGTTGGTCATTAATTTGCCTTAGCTGAGCAAACAGCTCTCACTCTTTTGTAAGGTTGTTAACTCATAATTATATTATTACAAAAATATACAAAAATAAATTGTAATGTCTTTATGGTTAATTTTCCCAAGCATGGGTAAAGAAGGAGGGTTAGTATTATAATAAAATAAACATTAATATAATATAATAATATTTGCTAAGCTCTTAAGACCCGGATATCAATCATTTAAAGATGCACTGAATAAACCACCAACTTAAATCAGAATCAAGTTTATTACCAAGTAGGTTTGCACTTACAAAGGATTTGGCTTTCTGTTGATGGTGCAGATAAATTAGATATATAAAAAAATACAGAATACAGAATCTATAGCTATTTAGTTATTCATCAGATGATTGATGAATGGGATCAGATGGAGACGTGGAGACTTCTGGTTGGATTGTTTTTGCTGTATTTCCGTATTGTATGTGAGTGATTAAATCAACGTACCAGTAAGCAAAAACCAATATTGCTTTTTAAAATTGGAAAACTTTTCACAATTTTTTTTTTTTTTAAATGGCAAAGCTGAGACAATTGTGCTGACAATGGATACAAACCCTTTTAATTTTCAATGGCATGAATCTCTCTCTCTCTCTCTCTCTCTCTCTCTCTCTCTCTTTTTTTCTCTCTCTCTCTCTCTCATCAAAACAATTTCTCTGTTTGCCCACCCACTGGGACGCTGTCCAGATTTGGAGCTGTTCCTATTTTCAGTTTATCAATGTATTTGCCACAGAAATTGTAAAGCAAACACACACATGTTCTTATACACGCTTTTAAACATATGCATGTAACCATGCATACTTTCCAAAGCAGTGTAAAAGTATCAATCACATTTATGGGATGTGTGTTTCAACAAGGAAAAAAAAAGGAGAAGCACATGACATCCAAACAGGGAGGACACGATTGGCGCAAATTGTAATTACAGAAATTAACTACATAACGAGGAAAGTGTAATTATACAGCCCAGTTAATTGCTACCATTACTGAGGGGAAATGATGTAGCTACAGTACATTTAGAAATGTGTGTTTGTGTGTGTTTGAGTGCGCGTCCATGCCTTGTCCAAATTAATTGGAGTATGGGAACAAAAGATATCCATGTTAGTGAAACATTTCCCGTGATCAAATGTAGGGTGTATTTAAACAAAGTACAGAGCGATGTTATGAGTGAAACAGCTGAACAAATATCTATCTATCTATC